AGCACCACGTGGTGGGTTTTTTTTTTTTTTTTTTTTTTTTTTTTTTTTACAAAAGACAGATACCGAGGAGCCTGCCAACACTGAAAAATGAGAGCAAAGCAGTAAGAGGCCCTGCAGCAGGCCGATAAATTTCAACCTACTGGTTCCCTGGGGAGCCTCAAGCCTGACCAAAAAAGATCATTGCTTCATGTGGCAAACCATTCAGCTTCCACACCTCATTAGTTCCCAGCTCCACTGTAATCCTACAAACTCCTGGCCCCTAAAGAACTACCAGCAGTACCAGCCTAGTCTGTTTCCTAGATAATGAAAATTTAATTTCTATTTATCAAGACAATATTTACCCTGATCAACTAAAAGCTGAAAAGCTCCACAGATACTATCAAACCACTATGCCACCATGTTCCATTCAAGGAACTACTTTAGCAAAGATACTTTGGGTGGATTCCCCCCCTCCTTGAAAGGGAGATGAGCGCTCTGAAGACACACAATTAAGTAATGGTCAACCTGCTCAAGGGCTATTAATTAAATCTATTCTTGGTCAGATCAAAGTGCCAACCATAAGCTTTTAACTTAGCTACTTTTGGAGCTAACTGTCATGCCCAAGTAGAGCTGGAAGATAATGGAAGCATTTTCACTTCAGCTGTGGGGCTTTTTGACCTACTTCTAGCCTCCTTTGTGAAAGTAACAGGTTTCCATCTCAAAGAGCAGTGGTACACTCTTCTGAACCAATGTGCTCCTCTTTTTCCTATACAGCTTCTTGTTTCCTTTAAAAGAGATGCTGATTTTTGAAAAGGACTCTTGGGCCCATTTCAGGGAAACTCCTGAAGGTCCTCAGAAATTGTGAGACTTCACCCTGTGTGAACTGGCCCATGCAGTCTCATAAATGATAGAAGATGTGGCATTTTAAGAGGGTGAGAGAATTCTACATGCCTTGACTCAGCCTGGTCCCTAAGACAAACTGGTTGAATTAAAATTCTCCAGTGATGTTACATTTCTGTCCAAGTCGTGAGTCAGATCATCTTTGGCTGCCCTCTAAGGACTAGCAACGCCTTCCTGCTTTGAAACGCACCGCGTGGGACTGACAGCACAGGCAAACCCTGATGCTGGGCTAGCAGCTATTAAAGAACAGAAAAACTTTTTCTCCTTCCTTTTCTCTCTACTTCAACTTTCCCACTGGTAAAGGACGGAGGGAAGGGAGAAGGAAAAAAAAGAAGTTACTTAAAGGAAAATGCTTATTTTTGGGTTTACTGTTGCCCAATGTACCTCCAACACTTTAAATTATCTACTATGCCATTGGTGTTTTATCTCCTGTGCCACAAAGGAATGAACCTGGATGCTCTCAATGTGCATCCTGGGAAAGAGCTATTATGCCACAGATAACACCAACTCTAGTTATCCTTTAGTATCCTACCTGTCTTTGGTTTCACGGAGAAGAGTCAGAAGAAGAAGAAGACCATTTACAATGAGTAAGTCTGTTTTCATCATGTTAGTGACACATTTAATCAAATGCTAACTTCAGGACACTTCCATCTCCAGGCTCCATCGTATCACATAAGTACTGGAGGGTTTCACACTGGCAGACCAAGGTCCTCCCCTGTGCTCCTGAAGAATTACTTCTTGCGAGTAGTAATCATTCACTGAGGACTACTTGGGAATCAAACATACCTCCATATCAACTGGGATTTTCTGCATCAGCAGGCTTACAGCCCCCTAAAAAATTCAAAGCCAAGACACCAAGAAGAGGAAGTGCCAGTCTTCCTCCAGAACCAGCCATGAAGCCTTTGTGATTCAGAGGGCAGACCTCCCACCTAAGCCAGCTCCAGATGGTCAAGGTGGGTCCGATGTTTGCCCAAAGACTAAGGTAGACAATTTTATCATTCTGAATGTGGAAATGAATTAATAACAAACACAAGTGATGGGTACGCTGTCTTTTAGAGAGTGGCTTCAGCAGGATTTAAGGCTGCTGCAAGCAGAGATCCAAGGCACAACAAGGGAGTACGCTTGAGGCACTGTCCTCCCATGCAAGATCCCAGACACCCACCCTGCCACACCACAGAAACACATTAAACTGGTATCAAAATACAGTTTTATCTCATTGTCTGAATCATACACCACCAAATGATTCAGACAAAGCCAAAAGGGCTTATAATTCCATGAAGTGTAACGGGACATTAGCCTATCACTATCAGTATGTGAATTATCCAGTTAAATACACAAGCAGAGGGAAAGGTAGAAAGGACTCCAAAGAAGGAACTGACAAGGCTTGCATGGGAAAAAACAGGGAACTCAAAATGCCAGACTGCACAGCTTCCCTAGAAGGCCAATTTCTACAGCCTTGTTCTCAGTTGTGCACATCTCTCATGGAAGAATGCACATACATATTCCAGCAGCACAAGGCAAAGCCTGAACTTCAGAGTATTTCAGTCTGCCTTTTCCAGTTTGCTCTGCCCCTCCTCATGAAGCTACTTTGCTTCTGTTAATACCCAGCAGGTCCCAACATGTAATAAATCATAAAGTGCACACTTACAGCCCAAATGCTTTTGATACACAGGAGCAGTTCCCAAAGATTTCAGCATTAACTTCCTACCTGTACTTGGGGGCAGAACATAAACTCCGGGTATTTCCCACTTCAAAATTATTTTAAAATTACTTCCAACCTCTGGCAAAAATAAAAAAGCAGTGGCATATTCTCCTTGTTTAGCCTTTCAGTCTTGAAGAACACACTGTGTGATAGTCATCAGAGACAGAGAATCAAGGAATGCTTTTCCTGCTTTACCAGTGACTGTGATCTTGACCAACTCTTTTTCTCTCACATTCAGCCTTCCCATGACAAAGATGTGATCAAGCGTTAATTTATGGCTGTAACTCATTTGTATCACCCCATAACAATTAGTATAGAAAGGAACATTATTAAATACAGTTCATAACATTGTTCTCCTTCCTTACATGTTCTAAGACTTACCTTAAGCCCTGGGGAGAGGATCTGTTGCTGATTTATCTGAATCACTGCAATAGCAATAACAAGAATTACGCTTAGAAGAAGAAACGCTTGGGCAACAACACTTGGGGTTCTGGTGAGCATCCTGAAACAAGGAAAAGGGAAACACTTAAGGAATGCGAAAGGACTCAGCGATTCTGTCTTAAGGCCTGAAGCCCTGAATCAGTTGACGCTCCCTATAAAATCTCAGTTTATCAACTAGATTACGCTACGAAAATTTTGTGACGTCCTCAAGAACTGCCTGTTGTTTTGCTACCACTAACTTTTTATTGTCTAGAAGGGGTGCGTCCATATTGTCATGCTAATGAATGCTAGATTTCACCCTCAGGTGCCAACCTGCTCATTTCCAACATGTAGATGCACGCTCATCATCTCCCATTCCCTTAGGAAGCGAGAGCAATGGGCAGGCTGAGGCTAGTGCACACCCAGCCATCCCATGTACACATAGACACAGCCACAGCCACGCACACACAACACTGGCAGCTGCCAACTGCAGCTTGGTGGTTTTGCCACAGATGCAAGGTCAGTGTCTATAATAAATACAGGCTGCTTCAGCAAGAAACAAAGGAGGTTTTAAGAACATTGAAGTTGGCATCTATCTTCTAACTGCTGCTGTGTTCACGAAGTAGCTTTGCATCTGTGCGTGTAAATATTAACATGGAACCTATTATTATCACTGCACTACACGCAAAATATACATTTTAACTCACAGATCTTGCCATGAGAAGGTACTAAATCTGTGTAAATCTAAAGTGTAGCTATGTTTGACAAACCCAAAGATGACCTCTAGAAAGGTCTTCTACAATTCAAATATGTTTTAGGTTTCCTGCAATTTCTGTTTGTCTTTTATTTTTACATGTCTCTGGCCAGACAGCTTTTCACCCCAGAACGCCTTTCAGTACCTCCAAGTACTGACAATCCCCATACCAAAAATTCTTATGCTCCACAGGCGTTGAGGAGGAAAGAGGTGGCTGGCAGGAGATGGCAAACTTAGAAGTTTCAGAGGAACACAAAAAGGAGACTTTTTCCTGTCTCTCATTTGCAGAAACCAGTTATTTTGGCATAGAAATATCAAGTTAGCCTGGCGTGATCTATCCCGATTCCCTGCTCCTAATTCTTCCGTAGTCATGGTGAAGCATTACCAGCACCTGTTCAGGGCTGCCCTACTGTTTCACCAAGGGCCAATGCCAATCTGTGCTAAAGACTGGAGCTAAAAGGTGGTCTACAGTCCATGGCCACAGCACGCCAGGTCAACCCTGCTGTACCTGCAACACATGGTCTTCTTAGCTCCAACCAGAGCCAGAGGGCTGAGGCAGAAAGCAGAAATGCTTCCTCACACAGTTTTCATGTACTAAACCCCAGGGGTTCTTCAGCCTGTGTACCCACCCATCCACGTTCACATCCACGTTCATTCAACATATGTGTTCACATTCAAAAGAGAAGCAAGTTCTTTGCTTTGTTCTGGGACTACCTTCATTTTGAGCTTTGCCCACTGCTGCTGCTTTCCTTGTCTTCTGATTTCTGTTGTGAAATCTAAGTCAGATTGGCTTTTGGAAACTCTTCATTTCAGCCTGACACATCTCACTTCCAAAACGTCACTTTTTTTTTTTTTAAACTCATTAACCCTCTTTTCTGAATCCATATGGGCTCCTTGTTTACTGCCAATCTACTCTTTCAATACCTTCTTTTCTTGGCTTGGTAATAGCTTTATTATTTTAATCAACCAGCTACACTGATGATTTATTTACTGCTGTCCATTGCTTTACTATGCTGTGAGGCATTCAAACATCATGTACACAATGCATAAATGATAGAATGAAATCTTGTTTTTACTACTGAAAAGTATGTTAACACCTAAGATGAATTCTCACTGTAACCTGGGGATGATGTCAGGGCATACTAATTAGAAGCATTTATACAAATAAATTCATTTTTGAAAAGAGAGAGCAGATTTTAACTATACATTTATGAATAATCATCTGGATAAAACACTTGTCTTTAGGGGGAGAAAAATACATCTTTTTCTTTAGCTTTCAAAACTGCACATGGAGTTATCTAGAATTGTAAAGTGACTGAAAGAGAATTGCATTTGCTTGCAACCTAACATATACCAGTCAGTCCTGGATCAAAGCACTAATGTTCAGCACTGGAAAAAATAAGCTATTATCAAAGAAAAAAAAACACTCAGGGCAAATGACTCTTTGAAAAACTATAAAGCATTACTAAATAGCAAAGCAATAACCACTATTATACTATTAACACTTACAAACACCCATGGCGACCGCTGAAATATTTTCTGCTACATCCATTCATAAGTGGGAATTAAAATCTGAGTTTGTTGAATTTCTCCTGTGCTTCCCTGGTATCAGGATTTGTCTTCATTAGAGATGATTTATCTTTTCAAAAATCTTTTTTGACAGGGAGCATATTAGGTAAAGGAGCATCTCTTAAGACATTCCTCACACAAATCTTGTCAATTCAGGACAATTTCATCAGAGAATAATCTGTAAATCCTGAGTTAAGCAACAGCCTCTGTGTCAGAAAGACATCTTACACTCCATGCCCGCTGGAAGTCATCACACAGGTGACACCTTTGCTATCTGAATTGTGCAAGGCACTGCAAGATTTCATGTAACTGGATCAGACAGGGCTGTATTTACTTCTGGCTACCCTTACCTAAGACTGACACACATACCAAGGCAACACCGTCACGCTTGCCCATTCACTGAAATCTGTAGATATATCAGACAGGAGTTCACTGACTCCGTAGTTTGTAAACAGAGCTGTAACGTAACGTTAAGTAACTCTAGCTAACACTGCACGCTTGTTGGCAAAAAGACAAATAAAAGAAAATTTTAATTAAATAAATTAAGTTTTAAGTATCTAAAAGCAGTTGCATTGCGTTATTAAAACACCACCGACCTGAAGCAAGAAACAGCATAAATATGTATTTTCCACACCCCACTCAGTACACTGAGCCACACAGTGGAAGGATCATTTTCTACACCTTACTTCAAGCACAAAGAGTACCTGCCTGCAAAGGAAAATGGACTAAAGTTCATGCCACTGATATTTTAACTAGGTTAATTACACATCTGCATGAATGTCACTGCGTATCACATGTTGAAATCCCTTTTCCCGAGTTACTTGAAACATCAAACCCTCTTCTTTTAGGTACTAACCTGTTTGTTCATAGGGTGGATGGACAAGCACCATAAATATACCTTCTTCACGCTAGAAGCGGAGAGATAGAAATACGTTAGCATTTATCTTAGAAGAGGGCTACAGGTGAATGTTTTTCAAGAAAAAAAAAAAAAGAAAAAAAAAACAAAACCAAAACACCAAAAACCCAACACCCACAGCACTTTAAAACCCACAATGAAAACCCGTGAGGAGGCTTCACAGGCCTTCTGCCGGGGGAGAAATCCAGTAAAAACAAGCACATGGAACCCAAAATTAGCGGCCGAACCTCAGCGCTTTCCCGCCGCTCACCGCCGCCCCGGGTGGGGGAGCTTCACGCAGCGACTGTGATTTGCGAGAAAGCACAAAGTTTTCCCTTCAAAAACCACCCTGCGGAGAAACGGAGCGACTCCCCATCCCACCGACCCCACCAGCTGCCGCGGCATTGCGACTCCCCGGCCCCGGGGACGCCCCAGCCCCACCTACCTCCCTCCGCCGGCCGCGGCCACCGGCTCCCTCCCGGGCGGAGGAGGAACGGGAGAGGGCGCACCCGCGGAGGGGATTTCCTGGAGAGAGTCCCAAATAGATAAACAACGTGCAGGTGACAATGCCGGATGGAGTGATAGGAGCGGGGGAAGAAGATCCGCGGTGACTCGGCGCATCCGAGGCGTTCCCGCAGCCGGGGGTGAGGCTGTGCGGGGCGAGGGGTGCCGGCGGGGGGGAGAGGAGGTCCCTTCCTGTCAGCCCGGGCTCCTGCGCCGCCGGAGGGGCTCCAGCGGGCAGGGTCGGGGGGTTCAGGGGGTGCCGGGGTCAACCACCCGCCTGTGAAAACCCCCGCAACGCGGCGGTGTCCCCGCAGCTCCTTCGCCCCTCCGCCAGCTGTTCCCCTCCTCCCGGAAACGCACATCTGCCCGCCGCTGGTACGGCAGGATGCTGCGGGCTGTCCGCAGGTCCTATTCCACCGGTCCCTTCCAAAGCAAAGACAGAAAGAGGGTTTTGTCAAGAGATGACAGTGGGGGTGAAAGAATGGTGTGGGAGGGTTTTCCTCAGCCCCCAGAGGCCCTCCAGCCTCGGGGCTGCCCTTCCATTCAAGTTCAAGTGGCGTCACTTGGAGTTTGCTGGAGTTCTTGCCCAACCTAGAGCGCTCAACAGACCCAGAAACATACCTAAAAGCAGGTCACCGAGATACTCCTCCCATCACCTGCCCGACCTGCCCAGGATCAGCCTGCAGGGTGGGTCTGCTGGAGACACCAGCGCTGGAATCACAGCAAGACACCTCAGCCACTTTGCCACCATTTGCCCGTTGTTCCAGGATTCAGATGCACATACTGTAAAAAACCAAATGCACCTATTTGATTCCTTTTCTCATCATGATCTTGATGAATCTGTTTTTTTCAATAAAGAAAGGAGAACAAGAAACCAGCTGAAGCCTTGTGAGCCACCTGTAAGCATCCTTCCACCGTCGTCTTGTTTTGGGAGTGGAGGTAATGTCCTATTTTTGATGACAACACCTTATCAAGGCTGCTTTAATGATGATCTTGGTGGATCAGTTCAGCTATTTCTAGCCCATGAAAACAAAGCCTCCCATCCCTCCTGCTGCCCCATGGCATCTTTTTCTTCTCCCATCCAAGTGTATTTGTTTTAATGCACTTAGTCCAACTGACTGTACTGGTCTGCTGGGCTGTGGCAGAATCTGTCTCCAGTGACCATTTCAAAAGACAAGTTGGATGGATTTCTTACCCCGCAGAAAAGCATATTCTTTTTGCTACCATCAAACATAACCATTTTGAAATAAAAAATAAAAATCATCGACACCCACTTCAGCCAGTCGTACAACTAAACCCCCACCAGTGACTAAAATTTAAGCTTGCAAAGAAAGGAAACCCTACCTTCTATATCACCTACTTCTGTAAAAACAGACATCAGAGATTCTTTGTCTTTCTGCACCATTCCCAAGAGCTGGGCTGGTGCACGAGTTCCTTTTTTTGTGCAACATTTATTGCCACGCTGAAGCCACGAAAGTAGCATAAGTGATACGGGCTATAAAATCTTCCAGCTGCTTCAACTTCCAGAACACTGGTCCTGAATCACAGAATATTCACGGTTGGAAGGGACCTTTGAGGTCATTGAGTCCAACCACAAAAGAAAAAGAAAAAAAAACAAAACAAAAACAAAAATACACCACACCCACCCACAAACAGACACAAACCAACAATTTCAGGCACTAGACCATGCCCTGAAGTGCCGTGTCTACATGTTTCTTAAATACGTCCAGGGATGGTGACTCCACCACCTCCCTGGGCAGGCTGGTCCAGTGCCTGACCACCCTCTCAGTAAAGTAATTCTTCCCAATATCTAATCTAATCCTCCTCTGCCACAACTTCAGACCATCAAATGAAGTAGAAGCAAGGTTCCCCTCCAGGCCTGTCCAGCGTCTGTGGCACAGTAACTGGTTTCATTGGTTCCTCTGCTTTAACCCTGGGAACCCATCTTAGATCCACTACTTTGTCTTCTTTTTTTTTTTTTTCCTACCTCTTTGGCTTTTCCCGTTTCCTCCTCAGCTCTAACCTCCCTTTTATAGGTCCCTTTAACCAATCCTCAATCCCTCCCTCACTCCCAAGGCGTAGATTAAACTTGCTGCCATTTTTGCAGCCAGGAGCACAAATCTCCTCTCCATCATTTCCTTTGCTACAGCACCCTTTTCTTCTCCCTCTTCAACTATCCTTGTTTGAATGCATTTAGTGTAATTAACTGTATTGATTTGTTTTGCTCGGACAGGATCTGCCCCCGGTGTCCATTTAAAAATGACAAATGAGCTGGATTGCCAGCGGCCCCAAGGAAAAATTTATTGCTTTTGCTACCATTGAGCACGAATTGTGGAGTTAAAAGACAATAACTGATACTGGCAGATTCATATATGAATACCAGTTGCTATGATCAATAGCAAATCTCTGTAACGAAAATATTATGGACGTGGATAGAGTGTTTGTTACAGACACATTTCTGTGCAGCATTTACACAAGATACACAGCAGATACTACTCCATTTCCCCACCCAGTGACAGCAGCAACATCAGGAGAGGGGACGGGTGATTATACATCTCAGGAGACCACCAAAAGGCATCTGCATTCGATGCTGGAATATTAAGAAGCCTCAAAATATCCTCTGAAGAGAGAGAGAGCAATAGGGTGAAACAGAAAGAAATGTTAATGTAAAAATGGAGGTAAGAGGACACCGGTGGCTGCAATACGGCGAGTCTGGTTTCTTGCATGGTGCTTTGCCAGCTCACAGGAGCAAGATCCGTCTCCCGTTTTGGTGCATCCTTTGCAAGGTCCAGTAAACAGAGGGCTTCTCCTATTCCTCCACAGCTTCCACTGGCTTTTTCACCATTTGTGTTGGCGTCAGCAGGTGACCGTGATGCTTCCATCAATCTGCCTGGGCGCTTTCTTCCCAGGACTTTCCAGCAGTGTTGACAAAACCCCTTCATTCACTAGGTTTCTGCTCCCCAAAGGCCTTCTCCCTTCATGTTCACCTCATTACCTCAGGATGAACTGCAAGAACTGGCAATGCAGACAGAGCTGTCTAAAGAATCTGGGACTCTCTGGGCCAGCAGGAGTCAGGATATTTAACTTAAAGTTTCTAGGCCATTTTTGTGTCCAGCATTTTATTCCAAGAAAGAGCACTTCTTATATTTGTTTCAGCCAACATACATATTATGCACCCAAAGAAGAGCAACAAAGCTGCTGAAGGGTCTGGAGAACAAGTCCTCTGAGGAGCAGCTGAGAGAAGTGGGGTGGTTTAGCCTGGAGAAAAGGTGGCTGAGGGAGACCTTATTGGTTGTAGAGAGATGGACGCAGTCTCTTCTCACAAGTAACAAGTGACAGAACAAGAGGAAACAGCCTCAAGTTGCGCCAGGGGAGGTTTAGGATGGAGTTTAGGAAAAATTTCATCACCAAAAGGGTTGTTAAACATTGGAACAGGCTGCCCAGGGAAGTGGTTGAGTCACCATCCCTGGGGGTATTTCAAAGACCTGTAGATGTGGTGCTGAGGGACATGGTTTAGTGGTGGACTTGGCAGTGTTAATTAACGGCTGGACTCTATAATCTTAAGGGTCTTTTCCAACCCCAATGATTCTATGAATTTATCATTATAGTAGCATACTTTGTTAATTGCCAAATTTAGGAAGATAGCTCCCTAGATTCTCAAGCAAGGAAGTCACAAACCACATCTGAAATGTAGATTTTGAAGAACATCAGATGTGATTCTCCTCAGAGATCAAGAATGCAGGTTTTTGTTTTTTTTACACAGTTGCAAAATGCATTTTTAATAATTTTAAAAGTATCTGCTGCCCTGTAGTTTTCTATCATCACTGACAAAAAAATCCCCTAAGGCAAATTCACAGCTATGGCATAAGAAATTCAGTTTGTCCCTCCTTGTTTTGAATAATAGCTGGATATAGACATTGCCTTTTCTCTTTTGAAGGTTCACTGCTGGCTTCTTTGAAATATCTTAGCTACTTTTTGGTTTGTTTTCATTCCTTTACTGCATCACTAAAGCTAATGATGTGTCTTAGATTCAGTTTCTGAATCTTCTGTCTCATACATACAACTGTGGAAATAACAGTTTTCTTGTCCATGTCTTCTTCTTGTGATGTCTTGAAACAAATCAGAATTTAATTCTGAAGTTGAACCAAAATACTTTCTAATGTATTTATTTCCCTTCCTGAGGCTTAAAGCTTTATACCTTGCATCTCTTGTCCAAAGAATCAAGAGCTGCTTGAATAAATTAAAAACCCCCAGGGACAGCCTTGCTCACATGGTTATGGGCCAGGAAAAGTTGTAGGCACGGGCAAAATAAGCACGTAATTAGGGCAGCAGATTGCTGGGACAGCAGAAAAACACAGCCCTTTGTCTATTTTGCTACGCCCGAGTTTTAGAAAGCCAAACTTGCTGCTGCGGCAGCTGTGCCCCACTGCTGGGAGGAGAGGAGCTTTCCAGGAGCACCAGCGACTGCTCCCATCCTTCTTGCTCCCTGTCCCTCAAGCTGCACACCAAGCTCACAGAGCTTCACAGCACACCTCATTCAAGTTTTTTAGCTATGCCTGCAAACATATGTTATGTCCTTACATATATATTCCATTGTCATAAAACTGACCACAGCAATCTTATAAGCAACTACCATAGCCAAACAAGAAATTCACTGCAGCACCCAAAGAAATAGACCACCTCCAGTGAATGGGGATAAGTTCCAGAAACTACTCCTTGGGACTTAATCCTTTAAAAATTGCTATGTGAAAAATTGCTCAACATGGAATATTTCTGTGAGTTGGCAAGTCTAAATGAATAATGTTTCACTTTTCTTGGTTCAGAAGTAATAGCAGACAAATTGCTAGTTCAGGAGAACCCTATGTTTTCAAAAAAGTATGAAGTAGTCCTCATAGCAATATTTCTATCACCTTTTTGTGCTCTTGTAAGAATGGACCAAATTGGCTGTGTAACTCGAACAATTCCTAGGTAAAATCCTTTCCATTGAAATTCCATGCAGGTCAGTTTATCTCCTTGAATACAAGATCTGTGGATGAACGAAGTTCTATTACAACTCTTTCCAAGTCCACCCGCCAGTATTGTTATTCACTGTTGCTTTGCTTCATTAACTGAGTCAATGTTAGTTCATGATAGTAACGGTAAATAATACACCTGATGTGAAAAATTCATCCAGTTTTGGTATACCTGTGAGTTTTCCTTTTGCTTATTCCTTTTGTCTCCATTTTGGTGCCCTGGATATTTATGACCTGCATAAGAGCATGTCACATACGCTGTTTTAGCGTTGGCTGATGACTTTATAAACCCTCTGGCTTAAGTCAGGCAGGTTTGTGCTTTGAGTCAGCCCTGAGTGTGAGCATGAGTGCCAAAGACAATAAAAACATCTAAGTGACAGAGATCCTGCCTGCAGCTGGAGTCTGTTATAGCAGACCCAAGCATCAGGCCCCATCAACCACAGGATAAGTTGTACACACGCAGCAAAGCCAGACGTATTGAAGGCAGCTGATGTCCAGACCAGCCAGGAGTGCTGTCTCTCTCAAACACAAACACTGCAGTTACTTGCCTGGGTACATCAGTAGTGTGAGCACAAAATAAGAAGGGTGCTAATTTTACACAAACCCTCTGAAAGCTGATGTCAGTCTGCCCAGGTGTTCGTTTCTTCCTCTCTTTCCACAAGTCAGGCCCAACGGTATCCTGTCCCGCCTTCTGTCTTCCAAAGCCAAATTCACCTCTTGGCCTCTCAGCACGACAGTCATCCTGCTCCTTCTCACCTGTCTTCTTCAGCTCCCTCAGTCTTCTTCAGATCTTCCCACTGGTTGTGCTGTTCTGGTGAAATGGTTTTCCCCCTCAAATGACTGACACATATAAGGCCTCTCTCAAAAATGTTTCCAGCTACTGGTGGTGGCAGATATCCCTTTAAATAAACTCAGGACAAAAAAAATCCTCACCTTTAAAAAGCATATGTGTGCCAATCTACTTTGGACCTCTGAAGAGAGACAAATGTTTACATGTTGTAAATCAGCATAGTGAGAATCAATATTTTTTGTTGTTTCCTGAGTAAGTATGAAGATATGAGTGTCCTTGCATCTGTGATGGTCTAAAGACATGGGGAGGGCAAGTCTGTAGATGGAGGCAATATCTTGTACTAGACCTTGTATGAAGATGGGATAGTTGAAAAAGTAGAGAAGCTTTGAGCCCTCCAGACCTTCTTTTGGCCTGAAATAGCAGCAGAAGATTTCAAAGCCAGAGACAAGTTTAGAAAGGATATAGGTTTCCGAAAGCAAAGATAATTCTGTATAAAGTAATAAAGAATAAAGCAGACACTAGGAGGGGGAAGATAGCAGAATACTTGTTTCCTGGGGAAATAAGTTATATGAAAATACAGAGTATCAAGGAGAGGTGGAAGGAAACAATAATGTGCCATGAACCTAACTTTCCTACCAAATGCCTGATTTCAAAAATTTTTGGATGACTGTTTTGTACCAGATGACCAATAGCTAAAGGTCCTAAGAGTCATTGGTTCATTAGAGTCATGACCACCGTGTTTGGTGGTCTACAAACTTTGGCAGCACTGGATAATGGACCAGGATTCAATACACTGAGCCTAAACCCTAGTCAGCTCTGCTGTGACAACAGACAGGGCACTGTCCTCCGATTCCTGCCCAGTTGTGGTCTGTGCTGTGAGCTCTCCAAGGAAGGGATTATCTCTGAAGTGGAAAAGGCATGGAGCCAAGAACAGTGGAGCCCTCATTTGGCCAGGGTACAGGCCAGAACTGTGACAAAAAAAGATTAATCATCATAAACCTGAAATGGGGCTCCATGAAGCCGCACATGCTGGTAGTGCAGCTGACTTTGATTAAGATCCATGAGCACAAAAGCTGACCTCCCTGGGGTCGCCTCACATCAGTGCAAACAATTATCACCCACATAAAACCAAATCACTTATCTACCATTTCAAAGCTATATTATTTGCCAAGAAAAAAATTACCTTTATCTTGTACTGTATATATACAGCTTTTTACATAAACCCGTTTTAAATGTGAGAGGCTGCCAGACAGGTATTTTCTCTTTGACTTCCATCTGCTGAGCAACGTTAACTGTATTTCAGGAATATGCCTATGCTCACTTTAATATTGTATTTTTCAGTTTGCTTCTCTTTCTTCATCTCAGTAATTCAACTCTGCTTTTCCAAGACTAATACAAAAGAACTAACAGACATACAGGATCAGACAGAAGGTGGATGTGTCTTGTCTTTAAACATCAGTAGGAGCAGATGTCTATGAGAAGGCTGTCGGGACTGGGCTCCACACACGCGTAATTCCTCTGAAATACCCTCTCAGCTGCTGCCACCTCAGGCCTTAGAGACTTCTTGAGCCAGATGTCGTATCCATTCTGATAGCCCCTGAAGGACCTCTCTGCCCCTGAATGTATTTGATGGCTTTTGAGCACATGCATGTGCAGCAGCCAAATCCACAAGGTGCCTGTCTGTTTCTTAAAAGCTCAATAGCAGCTCAAACGCCAGAAGCGGTCTGATTTAATCGGCTTGGCTCTCTCAGTAAGTTCCAGAGAGAAACCTTTTTAAATTCTCTGCAACATTGTTATGGTTTGAGACCCACAACTATTTACTGTCATTTACACAGTTATCCTATCATGCAGTGACCCCTCCCCACCTGGAAGGGGGAAAAAAAAGGAAACCAAGTGTTGAAATATAACCAGATTTAACAGAATAAGACTAAATAATTAACATCAATAATCCTAAAGAGCCACTATTGATCCTGATACCAATATAAAATATATAAAGATTATACTCAGCCCCTTCTCTCAGCAGGAAGCTGTGCACTCCCAGCAGTGGACAGCAAAAGTCAGACACCACCAGTGCAACTGCTTCAGGAGGAAGCAAAGGTCTCAGGGGTCCAGCACCAGGGCAAGAAGTTCTCAGGTTCACTGAGAGAGAGAACTTCTCAGCAAACTTTCTAACTTATATTGAATGTGACATTCACAGTATAAAATAATCCTGCTGGCCACTTTGGGTTAAGTGCCCGGGTCTCAAGCCTCCTCATCCCCGCACGTGGCTATGCTCAAAAACACTGACACCTCGAAACCTGCATACCGTAGCTGGCTATAAAGTAAATATTTTCACCAATTTAGCCACTAGAGTCTTCTAAAAATGCAGTTTTCCCAAGCATTAGGAGACACCTTACCGAAAAGTAAAATTACTGGAAGAAAAATTAATCCTATGTGGCTCAAACAAGTACAGACATGCTTAATTCTTTTACAAACTGAGGTATATTTATCAGTGTTGTAACTGTTGGGTTTTTTTTAGGGTATATTTATGCTTGCCTTGCTTATGATTAGGCTGTAAGTTTTAGTGAAGAATGATGAAAAATGAAAATATGACATGGTCTAATGTTACTGATTCAAATTCCTAGGTCTGCATGTGTAAGCTCAAGTAGGACTAGAAAAGCCTGGGCAGTAATAATGGTAATAATAATTATTAAATTTGCTGGCACCCAGCCTTTCATCCTGTTTTGTACCAGGAGGTACAGGTCCATTATGATAACAGTAAAAGAACGCAAACAGACTCTGTAAGATATAATTTAAAATGCTATTTATCATAGATAACTCTATAAGGAGAGAATGGTATAGATAATCTTACATCCTGTTAGCTGGTGGGCACCGCAGGTGGTGCAGCATCAAATGAGCCTCCAACCCATGCACAGCACGTTGGGCAGACACCTTCCACAGAGGTATTCCCCCATTTTGGTCATTGCAGCTACTATAGGATTTTCTTAAAAGAAACAACTCTATTGATCATTTCCACTGCCAAACAGAAAGGATGTTCACATGAGAACTGGCTGCTGCACACCTAGATGATGGCAGGGACACGGCGGAGGCCCACCCATGTTAAGAGGGAGCTGCCTGCAGGCTCCTCCACAGCAATTAACTGCAAAGTTTATCCCGAGGCCAAGGGACCTGTGTAGCACAACACGGGCCTGAAAGCCAGGCTGTGGGTGCAGCAAAGTGCAGCACCAAATAGGCTGGGCAACTGGGGACACCCAGCGTGGGGACAGTGAGACAGGGAATGACCTTTATATTGTGATTCCACAGTGTATTACTACAGCAATAGTGTGCCTTCAGTACGTCACTACTATCACTCTCCCAAATCACAATCACTGTAAAGCGAAATACATCGAAGAAGTCAATTTGATATTAAACATTAAACCCTCCTTGTGGAATATCTGAAGGAGCCTGGTCAGAGAATATTGGACTCTGACAGCATCAGACACAATCTCGGTGTGTGTATATAGGGTCTTTGCTGGGGGTGAAATACCAGCAGTCAAGAGAAGAGCTCAATGGGAGCGTGATGGGGCACAGAGGCTTTTGCTGCCTCTTTCCACAAGCTGAATTTCATCACTTCTAAACTGTCTCGTAACCAGCTTATTGACATGTACCACTTTTACAGCCAGACTTTGGCAGAGCTTTCTGACCCAGACATGAATTTGAAACTTCATGTCTTTTTAGGATCCTGACTGTCAACAGTTGCCTTGGACCTGATTTGTGACCCATGGGCCACCTCCTGCAGGTCCCTCTGACCACTAGCAGACCTTTATATAACTTTGCAAGGCTTTTGGACAATCAAACACATGAGAAAATTAGGTGAATTAGGGGCTTTCAGAGTAAGAATTTAACAGCCAACAAGAGTTAAAGAACAGCCTATACACTCCGGGAAACATAAAGTTCACTTTTGCATTAATTTATATACATTTGCATGACTGCACAGACTTTCAGAACAACCTTACCTTATGAGGAAATGGCATCCATTGCTGCATACAGTCATAAGAAAAATCCATCAGGAGAAGTAACTGTTAGTTCTACCTCATCCTAATTAGAAACCAAAAAATAGAAAATTCAAACACTGAGGCAAACCCACAATGATTTAATTCTGGTCTCTTTCAAAAAAGGAGCTTGCTGCTGTCACTTGGGAGGGGTCAAAAATTGCCAAACATTACACCTACTGCTGTCATGTCTGCCCACAGGGGTTGTTATCATTCTTGCCACTAATCACCAAAAGTGATAGGCTGGAAATTAAGGGACCACTCAAATGAAAAGTGCTCTCCTGAAGTGCCAGGCTCCTCAGTGAGATATGTTGAGACAGACACAGAGGCAGCTTTCAGAAATGAGGCAGTTCTCTATAGCTGGCATTGGGGAAACAAGTGAGAACAGAAGAAGTTCAGCATCCCCAGGGCAAAGAAAAACGTGTTTGTGCTCAGCACATCAGAGAGGAAACCAAAGAATTGTTCTGTGTGAACGTAAGACCTCTGTACTGCTGCCAAGGGCATGGAAACATGGTATTATAAGAAGCAGCTTCCATTAAGCACCTCATATTTCTAAGATAAAAACAACAGAAAATACACAGCAAATTTGTTGCACTCACTTACTTTTTCCCTACTCTTCCAAGTAATGCTCTTCTCATCCCTTTTACATGGAGACATCCCAATACACTTTCCAAGTCAGAAGGGCAATTCTGCCTAGTTCAGAACTGGGTACATTTGACCCACAGTGAAAAGAAAATCTAGGTGGGAAAGAAAATATTGTTTACAGCTTCTGCTAGGGTTGTTTACAGTTGTTCCTGTTTTCCAGAGCAAATACAGCTGACTTCTAGGAACTGACAGCTCACTAACAAACTGGTCTATTGAGACTATAAGAGATATTTATTCTTTTGAGGTCAAATACTCTATTGGCTCAACTCCACTGACTTTAATTGAATTCTGCAGTTATAAATTTTACAAAGGTAAACTTTGCAGAAAAAATTAAAATTCACTCATTCTTTGCAGATTTTTTTCATACGTTGAAGCTAACAATGTGAACTAATTAGTTCATGCAACAAATTCATACATTATTTTTCTTTAGTGGCAGTTAAGGTTGCTTCAAGATATATTCTCTCCTTCTACGGATGGAAATGAGACATAAAGGAAGAGTCTTACGTCTTCTTCACTTCACTTAGAACATAAATAACACACTGGGCCTCTCCATAATTTGAAAATTTAGTTATTGACTAGGAATCCACTGTCTGCAGAGACTTTTTAAAACCTCCCCACTTAAAAGTGTTTTTAAAAATCGATCTGCTGCTAGAAGATGAAAATTTGGCAATGGAATGGGTATTTTTTGATCAAAATTTTCATCCTAAAATAAAAATATCTTTTTCCACTTATTTCAGCACCGAATGACACAGACACAACAGTGAAAATGCAAAAATGGGCTCAGCAAGAGGAGAAACCAAAAATACTCCCCCAGCCCTCTCTTTGCAATAATTTATTGCCTCTTGGTCCCAGCATTTGTTGTAGGAAATGGAGAGCACATTTGTGAATCCCCACAGAAGGAGGCATGAACTGAATCTGTGTCTCTCATGTCATGGAAGACAGCTTTTACCACACCTTATTATTGGCAAGAAGGATAAACACCTGCTATCTGCTTAGCTTTAAAGGGTGTTTTTCCTCTGCTGTTCCCAAAAAGGATCTCAACACCCACTTCCAGGAAAGACGGACAAGCCACTCGCCCTGCCTGGAACAAGGTGTTTCTCCATGACACCAAGTAAGGCTCTTCCCTCCCAGAGGCAATTGGAAATTAAGACTCACTCCTCAGTATTTTCTCCTCCATTATCTGTGGCTGACATTTTTGAGGAGGATATTATGAATTCTGTTTGGAGGCACCTCTCTGCCTCCATGCACAATTTATAGAGCCATGGGGAAAAACTGTTGGCTGCACACTTCACCAGGAGGTGAATGGGTGGCAGAAATCTATATTCTCTGCCGGGGTTGGACCTACACCCTTAATCACCAACTGAGCAAGGACAGGAAAGGCTGGCCACACAGTATGTTCTCTCTGGATACAGGTGGTAAGGAAATAGCTATGGCAAAAACCTCATTTCCTTACCAGGGCTTGTGGTCTAGGCTCTTGGGTTAGACTGGTTTTGCCAGCTAATGGCACCCTGAAAAGCAAGACAACACAACACGGTCTGAGCAAAGAGGAAAAAACACCTATTTTTAAATACGTGAACAAGATTTTGTCTCCTAAAAAATGCTTGCCTCTCGAGCATTTATTCACAGAAGCTTTTTGTGAATGCATTAGTTTTATATCTAGATCTTCAGTAGAAGACTACATGCAATCAGGACAGAGATGTGCCTCTGTGAACACCTGAGAGACCAGTAATTTCATAGTCTTTGGAAAACAGAAAAGACTTAAAATGGTAGCCCTAGCTCCTCCTGTGCTTAAAATACAGTTGAAACTATTCACAACACTGCCTACGTTGTGACTTACCAGGGGATTGAAATGGGGGGAAAAAGAAGGTTAATGCATTCAAGGTAAGAGGTAGGAAGAGAAAACAAGGGTAGGACAGTGAGCCAAGCTAAGAAACACAAAGATTTTGCTTCTTTCCACGTAGTTTCCCTGCTGGTTTTGGAATGTTATTTAGACTAAGGTGTTGGGGTCAGTTTGACAAAAAAAATTCCTTGATACTCTCCAAACATGAAAGATTTGCCACGTCTTGCACTGGTGGGTATTAATTCCTCATGTGAAACATACTCTCTTTTTCTAATACTGAGAAACAGAGAGACCATCGTTCACTTTTGAGCACAATTTCAAGGGAGGGTATTAACAGTTCTGCTTCATGTGCATCTCTGTATTTTCCATTTACTTGCAGAAGATGGGAAAGGAAAAGCATCCTATGCTTTTTTCCCCACTCTAGTTCTCCCTGGGCTTTTTAGATTCTAGTCACCATATCTCTGTCTCCGCATCTATCTGTCTGTCCCTCAGCAGAGGATTCCTCCAGTGTGCCAGCTCACCTGTGGGGATTTAACTTGCATTCTCACTGCAGTCAGGAAAATAAAGTGAGGGATATGCCAGCAGGTACTAAGAAGACAGGGAACAGTATTTGCAAAAGCTCGAGAAAGAAAGCAGATCCTACTTAGCAGCGGTCAACTCGCACAACAGAGCAACTGATCTTATTTAAAGATCTTTTTTGTTTAACCTGCTGGAAAAGCAGGGCAAAGGAAGCCACAGAGGGCAAACAGGAAAAGTTAGGAAACACAACTAGAAGACAGAATGAACTAAAAAAAAAATACCTCCTTGCAATGAGAGGGCTTAATAGAGAATTGTGGCCATCAGCTGTCAGGGAGCTCCTAGTTATTCCTCCTGGAAATAAATTCTGCATCGGACTTGTGGGAAAAATTCTTGATATTAAGCAACAGAGCTCTCCACTACTTCAGACCAGAGGATCTGCTCCCACATGTATCAGAGACCAAGTTTGAGAAATCCTGTGCCCCTCTAGCAAAGAGGCAATTTTCCCTTGCATCAGTCATGTGCTCCACCTAGAACCTTATGTGCTCCTTGGACCTGGGGAGAGCTCCCTGCCACCCCCTGAACTGTCAGTGCACAGCAGCAGTGCTCATGGATCAATGGATCAGTCCCCTTCACTTGTGTTTATTTTTGCAATGTTTCATCTGTACATTTTTGCAATGTCTCAACTGTATTTGTGCGCTCATACCAGCTCTTCAACCTTCTCTTAGCATGAGACTGTATTCAGATATACAAAGCACCCCAGAACATTTCCCACAAGCTTCTGGGAGCCTCTGCTGACCTCATGCCAGTGGCACTTTAAAATATAAAACAACCTACCCCTTCCAGGAAGAAAAAGGAGATTTAAATCAGAGCAGGGGCTGTGATGGGACACAACGTCGCATTAGCACAGACACAATCACTTAAGGTTTGGCAGCTTCTGATGAATACCAAGCTTGGTCCACCTCCCAAGAAAGATATTTTCCAATTGATGTGTATGGGGTTTGGCTAAGGCCCACACTGTGCATGCTGTGGATCATTCCTCTCATTTTAGGCTCTCAAAAGTACTCAACAAATAGGAATGAAGTTAAAAGGGGGAAAAAGGGTCCCAGTTTTGCCCTGTTTTTGCATGGACAAGTTCAATTGGACTTTCAGGGGGTAGATCAACTGCCTGATGTCTTTTAATTTGATGGGTTTTTTTACATTTTTGAGAGTAGTATCATCACTTGCAACATCCATTCTCTCATGCCTGACTGGCTCAGTAATCATAAATACTAAAATTGTTCCATTGACAAGCAATAAAAATACAAAAACCCTGCAATTTCTCTGATCATACACACTTACTGTTAAAATACTGAAAAGACCAAAATCTTCTGTAGAAAAAAAAATAAATCTTACGTTTTCTGTATTGCTGCTGCTCACTGAAATTTCCTTCTGATACCAGTTCAATGGTAACAGAATTGAGCAATATGCTCCACAGGAAAAGATAACAAAGAATCGATCTTTAAGCAATTTCAGGATCATCTTTGAATTTGATATCCAGCTGATTAGTTTATACCATAACGGTTCCTTGGTCCTATTTTAAGCATCTTCAAGAAGAACACTGTAACCCAGTTAAAATGCTTCCTCGTGGGACAGAAATCAATATCCAACAAGGCAGTAATGACCTCTCTCAAATTTTTTTATGCTGACCGCAAGAGCGCTTAAAATATTAATCCCAGGGAATGTTCTGCAAAATTGAAAAGGGTTTAAATAATCCAGCATACATAGTAAAAGGAGCGTCTAACAATTCACCCAGAGAAGAGAAGATTGGGAAGGTTGCCTGTTCCTCCTTCCTTCAGCCAGACTGACTGGGTCGGGGTGGCTGTGCCTATTTGGGACATGGTAACTCTCAACGCTTGTGTGCCATGGAGGACTCCCAGATCCTTTTCCTCAGTAGTACTTCCCAGAAGATCCATCCCTAACCTATATTGGTGCCTGGGGTTCGTCCTCCCCAGGTGCAGGACCTTACATTTGCTCTTGTTGAACCTCATAAGGTTCTTCTCTGCCCAGCTCTCCAGCCTGTCCAGGTCACTCTGGATGGCAGCACAGCCCTCTGGAGTGTTGGCCAGCCCTCCCAGTTTGGTATCATCAGAGAACTTGCTGAGGATACACTCTGTCCCCTCGTCCAGGTCATTGATGAATAAGTTGAACAGGACTGGGCTGAGTATTGACCCGCGGGGGACGCCGCTGGTTACAGGCCTCCAACTTGACCCTGCTCCATTAATGACAACCCTCTGTGTTCTGTCACACAGCCAGGACACAATCCACCTCACCGCCCCCTCATCTAACCCACACTTCCTTAATTTTCTAATGAGGATGTTATGGGAGACAGTGTCAAAAGCCTTGCTGAAGTCAAGGTAGATGACATCTGTTGCTCTCCCCTCATCCAGCCATCTAGTTATAACATCATAGAAGGCTATCAGATTGGTCGAGCATGATTTACCCTTGGTAAATCTGTGTTGACCACTTCCAATAACTTTATCTTCAACGTGTTTGGAGATGACATCCAGAACAAGTCATTCCATTATTTTCCCAGGGACAGAGGTGAGACTAATTGGCCTGTATTAAACTGGATAGTAATTACTTTGCTTGTTTAAATGTGCCCTCTAAAAACTGAGTATCATCATTGTCATCAGGCTTGTGAGTGCTTATAAAATACTTCTCTTTTTTCCTGTTTGTGGTCAGAGGGAGCTCCTGGGGGCTCTGACATTCACATCAATTGCTGCTCAGATCTACTTCTGTCAAGAGCCAGATGTCCCTGGGCAGCAGAGAAGCAGCAAGTGCCAAACATACAGGAACAGAGAAACCCCCAGGAAACCTGAGGAGAAGGAAGCCCAGTGACCAAATAAAATTCTCCTGGTCAGCTGGTCAATCTGGAAACAGCAAGACAAGAATGTCCTCTCCACAAGGAGGCAAGTATGCAAGTCCTGGTATAAAGTCAGCTTGTGGCTTCAACCACCTTGGCCATGCAACTGCAGCTCACATGAGATTATTTGGGTGGCACCCCTGACCTTCACACCCTGTGCCTGGAGCAGGTACCTGAGCAGAGGAAGACCACAGCTTGTCCCTGTCATCCTCCCTACCATCTTTGACCCAACTGATGACCACAGAGCTGGGAGGGCAGAGGGGGAGGATGCCAGCCACTTCCAGTGAGTCACCCTCTCACTCCTCTTGCAGGAAAGGGAGTAATACTGTTTTCACGCTCTCCCCTGCTCATACCCTGGCTTGCACTTCCTCCATGAGCCATCCCACACAAAACCAGCCTTTCCTTAGGTAACACCAGTCTGCAGTCAGTGGGAGTTTGAGTGGAAATGAAGTAACTATCCAGATTTGGGCTATAGCTAAAGGAAAACAACTTCATCCTCATGAGAGTTTGCTTATCACCACATTTTCATATTAGCAAGCTATATAAAGCATAAGAGAAAACATCTCTCTTCAGCTCAGCTCTGGTATCTTTGTGTTCCAACCAAGGACTGCTTGATAAAGACTCAGTATTTTTCCATTAATTAAGATACTTTAATTAGTTGGGACAGCTAATTTATATTAGCTCTAAGAATAGGCATAGCTCTCAATAGAGCAGAGGGCAATGACTGCAGTTAATTCAGAATAATCTGAGGGAAAGCTCTGCTTTAGGAAAGGCATTCAACCAGGTAGACCAAGGTATTGTTGAATGCACAGCTTGTCACTTTAATGCATCAGTTTTGATTTTTTTTATTTCATTTTTTTGCAGAGAGTGCTTGTTGGTCCTTTCTGGAGTTACAGTCCCATTTTTTTTCCCTGTGATGTGATCCCAACTGGATTTTTGCCTGGACAAAAAAGATACTTTTGACAACCCAGTATTACTTTCATACAACATCGGAACTAGGAAGAACACACCAGCTATGTCCTTTCAGTAATGGCATCCTGCATTTCCCCCAGCTCTGAGACCATTAGGCAATTAGCACTTCTTTCCATTACTGCCTGCCTTTCACCACGCTGAGAGGCCAAGCCATGTGAAAAACCAACACACTGATGGCACATACCAGGGTTGGCTCACCCAGCTTGTTAGTGCATGGAACAGGGGTGGAAGACAAGATCAAAGATTCTATAAAGGAGCAGAAGATCCCGAGCTGA